AAAAGCCCAAGGGAGTCTGATAACAGGGAGGTCTCAGATGCGTCAAGGAAATAAGTTATCACGTTTTATTTTTAAGGTCTGTGGGAAAGCCCAGGAGAACACACCATGAAAGCTGTTAGACAACACAACACCAAACAGGGCCAAAGCAGTCATCCGTCACATTGCATTACACAAAAATAATCACACAGTGTATTTTCAAAAAAAAAAAGGAGTCTGTGCAGTGGGCTGGTGGTGTCTCTTCTGTAGCTAGTGCATGTTCTCATGTCCCACTGTCAAGGTACCCAGAAGATTTTCAATACAGGAGTCAACAAGTAAGATGTTGATAAAAAGATGATTAACAGGAACACACGGTGGTACAAGCAATGAGATGAGGGCTTGTCAGCCTGCAGATAAGGCCACAGATCTGCTAAAAGACTGAAATTTGTTAACAAAAGGGTCTGTGGAGTCAGAAGCCCAATCACCAATTGTATAAATCCAGCAATATTTAATAGAGCAATCGTTCAGACTGGTAAAAGCAACAGCTTTGTTTCTCTCTAGTGTTTCCCATGGATGACCTTATACTGTGTATACAAGCAGGTAAACAGAAGCCTTCCCACCAGGGAATTATTCTTCACGTAGCAACTTCATCACAAGGGAAACTGCAGCACAGCAACGCGAAGCACGTGGCTTTGGACAGATGGCAGAGCTTCATGCAGAGATGCTCGAGCCAGCTGCCAGCATGGAGCAGGGCTAAGGAGCCTTGGTATGTCAAAACACAGCTGTACAGAACCAAAGCCAGTCTCCTTCCCTAGCACCATGCTTTGGTGCAGATGTACCACCTCTCATGAGCTCCTTAAAGGTTCTCCAGCACATGAGATCACGTGAGCATGATCCAAGTGTCCACTGCGCTTCTGCATTTATGCACCTTCTAATGTGAGAAGCTGTTTCTAAGAGGAAAATCAGGAGACCATCATTTCTGCTGCAAACAGAGAGGAGGAGTTTGGTTGAAGGTCAGATGGGAACATCTAACACAAGCTCTGATCCTGAGTTGTTTGCAAGACAGAAACTACAAAGACTGGGAGGGCTACGCTCGTTCAAGGAACATATTTAATTGGACTTTCTCAATCTGTTCTTAAATAGATTGGTAAATGTGTGCCTTTGCCTACAGATAGAAGTAACAATTAGTACAGATGTGGAAACTTCCAAGTTTCCACTGTCCAAAGAGAGATAAAATGGCTAAAAAAGGACCTTAGCCTTTGCTAAAATAGGAGGGTACATATCTTTATGCCAGAGATTCCCACTTGTAAAGTTATGGAACATAACTCCATGTGCCTCAAACAATCCCGTCTGTATTCAGCTACTGGAAGGTGTGGCTACACAGATTTATTGGTTATGGGCTGATTATGAGATGCAAGAGTATCGTAAAATCAACTCACAGATCTGAATGAAGACACCCAAATTTAGTTGCCTACCTGAGAGCAGGGTATCTAAGATCTCATCAAGACCAACACAGATCTGTGGTACTACCCACACATTAATGTCTACAGCCACCAGAGAGACATTAGGGTATCCCATGCATCCACATGGGATGGTAGATATGACGCAGAACCTAGAAGAGATCCGTTCCCCTCTAGAGAAATAGCTGGAGGACAGCGAGGACAACTCCGAGCATCTCCAGCCACAGCATGACAAATCAGTGAGTCCTTCAGAAGGGAGCAACCCTGCTATTACTGCCTTCTGGCTTCTAACGCTCGGAGCTTAGCCAACAAAGAAACCAGAGCAAGACTTCTAATTGTTCGAAGGCATCCCATTTAATCAGATTTAGAGGACACTGCTTTTCAGTCATCCAGTTGTGAAAAGCAGTAATTGTCAATGGTTCTTAGGTTAGAACAATCCTCAGAGCTTTTCACAGCAAAGCCAGATAATCTGCAACACTAACCTGGATGTGAAATTTAAGGTCACTGAGGCAGATCATCTCTTCTCAGAGAGAAATTCTCAGTGTGCAATCACACCAAGTCTAAAAGAATGGATTTAACGTAGGACTGGTCTAACAGCCTCTGAAGTCAAAGCAAAGGTCTCCATGAGCAACGGACTGGGAAAATACAGCTGAAGATGGGAACCCGCCTGGCTAATGTATTAATTCTTTAATAGAAGAATAAGAAATAAGAACATGAGGGGTTTTATACCCAGAACATGAAAGCTACAAAAGGCAAAGTGAACATTAAAAGGCTCATACTACCTACTTTCATTAATGAATATAAGGCTGTCTCTATGCTCAGTAGAGAAAAGCTTTTTCAGAAGATGTCACTGAGCATCAAGTGAGGTGTGGAAGATCTGAACTGCCTTATGGAAGAGTCTTTCTTCCCACCGAACTTGGGATCCTAGGAAGACTAGTTTCCCAACTCAGTTAGTTGACTTACATGAAGTTGGGTGGTGGGAAACGCTTTAAAAGCTGGGTTTGGTGGTGCTAATTGGACCAGAGGAGACCAGTCATTCTCAGAAACTACTACAGTTAGATCACAGATGGAAGGCTGCTTTGTACCCCCTCAATCACCCCCTAGCCGGTCTAACCCACTCTCACACTCTAAATGAAACAGATTAGTGGAGAAGACAGTAGGTGCATGGAGAGCTGAGCACGCTTCTGTTATTTCCGCCTGGGACCCAGCCCAGATTGACCTTGACGTATTGCTGGTTCTGTGAACCTGCAAGGGAAAACAGGGAAGCAAGGGTAACAGGATAAACCCAGCTACCTTAGCAAGACCTTCCTGGAAGATCTGTGAAAAGGTTTTTGACAAACTAACAAGTTTTTTGGGCAGAAAGTGGAACAGGTCATGTTGTGTAATGGGTGCTCCAAGGGCGGGCTTTCTTCTCGCAGTTTCGAGCAGCTGAGAGGCGACCTCTCAGCTTATGCACAAAATGTTCATTGCAGGGCAAGGCTCTAGATAACCCAGGATTAGCAGAAGGCTGAGATAGAGCTCACACTGCCGAAGAGGCTGATGGACAGTGACCAGGTGCAGTATCAGCTGGAACAGCAACTGCAGCACATACCGATGACCCAGTGCCAACATATTTCCATCCTGGGAGGAAGAGAGGAACATCCAACAGATGCAAACAATAACAGTGAAAGAGCCCCAGAAGGAAGAAGGAGAATATATTCCCATCTGCCAAACCAAGAAAGACCCAAAGAGCCAAATTCCCACTGATGAGTCAAGGGGTTTTTTTTAAAAAAAAAAAGAGGTTTTAAGCAAGAAGAGCTGCAACAAAGAAGGTTGTTTATATGCTCTGGGATACATCAGCACTGGAAAAACTTGGCATTAAAGAAAAGAACCTCCTGCTACGCCTGCGTAGAGCAGCAGTTGGCCTGCTGAGGTCAGGAGGAAAGAAGGCATGTACGTACTGACATTGCAACATAACGTAGGGATACCCAACACCACTGAAAACAAACAGCTCTGGAGGCAGAACCTTCCCAGAGTAGAGCATTCACTGATTCATTCTACTTCGCTGCAGAGGAGCCACAGGTTCATCGTCCAACAGAAATGTAACACTGAATAAGCTGAAACAAGGGTTCAGTTTTGGTCTCTGAATTAAGGGTTCTGAATCCAGTGTCTACCCTACGACTTCTGAAGAGCGTATTAAAACGTAAAACCTCTTTTGGCAGCAGCCAGTTAGGCAGGCAGTCCTCAACTTCCAGGACACTTTCTCTAGTTCTCCATGTGGTTAGTGGCAAATGGTCTGTAAGCACCGGGGCAAGCTACACTTGTGAAGACAAATTTCTTCAGTTAATTGGAGGTCCATGCACAAGAGGTAAGGCTGGAAACCCACTGGGTGTTGAAATTTGGCTAACACCAGCTAGCAGGGAGATAGAAATAGCTTAATCACGGGACTCATCTCTAGAATAGCATAAAATACATCTAATCTTGGAGGATGATGCTCTTATAATTGCTTATAATTATGTATGAATTCAAAATCCTTATTTCAAGACCACCAATGAGTCAATCACTATTTCTTTCAGCATTACTACCTTACTACTTGTGCTTGTATAGCATCTTCCATCAGAGGATCTCAAAGACCTCTGCAGATGCATAAAGCCCTTTTCTTGGGAAGGTGTGCAACTTCTAGAGAAGTGACTGCACACAAACTAAGGCCCAGCATGTTCAAGTATTACTACTTTTAGTGATTTCACCTTGGATTTTCTCAGTATAACACACCTAAGATCTGTCTTGCTCCAACTGCTGCCTTTAATGTGACATGTGCTCAGTAAATATGAAATCTGTGAAGTCCAGGAAGGTTTAAGTGAGGTACCTAGAAAATGGGAACTCTCAAGATCAATGGATTCTTTGAAATTTAGGCCAATGAAATTTCCATATAGCCTCACGTTGGATGGCAGTCAGGGATGTGACCCCACCACCACATCTCAGCTGATCTAAACGGGTTCAACTCCACTGGCTCCAGAAGAGCTATGCTGCTTTCCACAGCTGAGATCAGTCCTCAGGAGTACTGAGTCCGACAGCTCCAGCTGCTGAAGAGTTATCTGCGATTAAATAAAGCAGAGGATGTGGAATCCTCAAGCACTTCTGCCCACCGCTTCCTGAGCTGGTTATCAGCCCCTCTGTATAAATAGCTTTCAGGCACACCCAAGCAGGAGGTATGCTGGAAGCACACGCACAGCCCATTCAAAGGGACATAAAATGCCAAAGAACTAAAAATTACTTTCCTGTGTTTCCTTCCTAGCAGTTATTCAACAGCCCAGCCCCACTCTCCCGCTCTTCTCCACTCACCAAAGGAACCAGAGCATGGCTGACCTGTAAATTTACGTAGCATTTCGGTGCATGTTTCTGCCACAGTTTCATCATCACACTTCTCCATAATCAAAGCCTCTTCTCCACAGATCCAGCCACTCAGGACATGGCCGTACCGCTCTGGTGGGTAGAGTACATCAAAGCTGCAGATCTTCTTGTACCACAGCTCCTCGGGATAAGTCAAGCTCTCACTCTCTGCCTCATCTTCCCAGACAAACTGGATGCTGTTGCATTCAGAGCTCCAGAAAGGCTCTTCAAACTCCAGGAAAATCTTGTCAGTCGTATTGATTCCTAGTTTCTCAATGGCCATCACCTTCTCCTCAGGCAAGCGGGGATGAAAAAGGCTCTCGTGGCGTTTCTTCAAGACTCCCAGGGACACAGTCACAATGACATGGTCAGCTGGGATGAACTCACAGTCCTCACACTCTACGAAGACATCGGAGCCCTTGTCCTCCTCGGGGAGGTCACTGTTGTGGTCAGCCACCCTCTCAATCTCCTTGCTGACCGACTGGTTCCAGTGGATGCACTTGACCGGCTTGCGGAGCTGAATGACAGACTCAGGAATGGAGCGGGCCAAAATCTCCACGATCTTAATGAAGCCACAAGGAATGATGTGATGAGCTCCAGGGATTTCGGTCCATTCCCCAAATTCACTGAGCGAGACTTCATCCATGCTGTGGGAGCTGCTCTCACAACTCTCTACCTAAGGAAAAGCAACACAAAAGCAACATTGCCACAAAGCAACTCACTTTGCCACAGCGCAACATTGCAAGGGCACAGAGAAGCTGCACAAGCTGGTAGTCCTGAATTCCACGCTTAAACCACATTATTTTTGCTAGTAAAGAAGTGTTTGGCCATAGGATCTAACAAAATCGATCCTTAGCCTTCCTTCCAACCAGAGAAACCATTTCGTCATGGTAACAAGCTGCATCAGCTTTGGTTGCGTCGGCCATGGTTGCATTGGCCAGAGTTCAGAGATGATGTCTCTGCTTCTGCATGATTCTGGGTTACAGTTCTGACTGTTTTCCACCATTTAAAACCCACTGCACTGGCCAGGGACTGGCTGCTTGGGGCTCCTACAACAGAAGTTGGAGCTATGTCAATCAGATGCTCTTTCCAATGTTAATAAATGTTCCCATGAGGAGCCATGAAAAACTTATGGCAGCTATTTCTGCTGCCTGCAGCTTTCAACATGCTGTCAAACAGTCAGCAAGCTAACAATCTGCAGGAGGTGAGAGGATCCAACACAGAAGGAACTGAAGGAGACAGAGAAGGGAAATGCCAAGATGTGAGACACTTGCATTTGATTCACTGTTTTGATGTGATTATCAAAGCTTTAGATTCGGACCTCTAGGTTAATGTTTGCAGGAGTATTAGGCATAGCCGTAGTTTCCAACAATCCCTGGAACAAAGACAGGATGTTTGGCCTGTCTTGTGATAAGTTTCTAATGATAATACTGATGCATGGGACACAGTGATCTTAAAAATCTTCAAATCACCAGAGTCACAATGATTCACACACTGTAATTCTTAAGCTCAACATGACCTGGCAATGTGCGCTCACAGCCCAGAAAGCCAACCGTGTCCTGGGCTCAGTCCCCAGCAGCGTGACCAGCAGGTCGCTGGAGGGGATTCTGACCCTCTGCTCCACTCTGGTGAGACCCCCCTGCAGTGCTGTGTCCAGCTCTGGGGTCCCCAGCACAAGAAAGACATGGAGCTGTGGGAGCAAGTCAAGAGGAGGCCACGGAGATGATCCGAGGGCTGGAGCACCTCTGCTATGGAGACAGGCTGAGAGAGTTGGGCTTGTTCAGCCTGGAGAAGAGAAGGCTGCGGGGAGACCTTAGAGCCCCTTCCAGTCCCTACAGGGGCTCCAGGAAAGCTGGAGAGGGGCTGGTGACAAGGGCCGGGAGTGACAGGCCAAGGGGAATGGCCTGAAGCTGCAGGAGGGGAGATGGAGATGAGATGGGAGGCAGAAATCCTTCCCTGTGAGGGTGCTGAGGCCCTGGCCCAGGTTGCCCAGAGAAGCTGTGGCTGCCCCTGGCTCCCTGGCAGTGGTCAAGGCCAGGTTGGATGGGGCTTTGGGCAACCTGGGCTAGTGGAGGGTGTCCCTGCCCATGGCAGGGGGGTGGAATTAGATGGTCCTTAAGGTCCCTTCCAACACAGGACACTCCATGATTCTTTAAGCATTTTAGGCAAAGGGAACATTACAGTTCCTTATCTCACTCTTGGGCTGATTTTCCAGGCCTTTCCACACTTTAATGACCATGTTTGGAAGCCTGGCAAGCCTAGACCTTCTCCCTGTAGAGCATCCTGGTGCAGGGCAGGAATCTCTGTGCTGTGATAAAATGTCAAACAAACAAGTCAAAGTTGTACTAATGAGTTCACAGGCTGCTCCTGTGACACACAGGTGGTTGTCCCTTCCTGGTCATTGCCCAATGACTCAAGTGATGATTGAGCAGGCACAACTGGTGGTCCAGGTCGCCAGCAGCTAGGTCTTGACCTATCCTCTGAGTCTGCTGTGGTTCCATCCTATCCGATGGCTGAGCGAGCACTCTCCAACACTCCCCCAGGGTCAGTTCTGCTGGCCCAGAACACAAACCCTGCACAGTGGGCCACACAACAGGCCGCTCATCCTGCCTGGATGCTCCAACAGGACACTCCACATTATGAAAATAACTAACAGTGATGGCTATTTGATTCTTTCAACCATGAAGGAAAAATGCCAGTACCAGGCAAGTACCAAGACTATACTTTGTCTGAGACACCAGTTAATCCCAACTTCCTCAGCAACCACTCTGATCTGATAATATTAAGTATCAGAAGCTTTGTTGTTCTCAGGTATTTATGCATGAGAAGGGATTTGCAAGATTTGCAGAAAAGTCTCTGGCTGTGGCAACCTGTAGCAACCACAGAAGTAACCACTAGGAAAACCAGAGCTATATCAATGACTAACGTTGTCTGCATGGGTGCTGTTACATGGATAACACAATAAATAACTAGTTTTTATGTGGCAGCTTCAGGGACGCCCTGTGATACAAGCTCTTAGGTCAGTACAGTGAGAGATCAGAACAGTGCTCAGGACGTCTGGGTTCAAATCTCAGCTTTATCACACATCTCCTGTGAGACTCTTTAGGTCTTTATTTCTCTTTGTTTCAGCTTCGCAGCTGTAAATAGTGAATACCGTACACATAGCCACATCACAGAGCGCTGCTTCCCTCCCCTGCCTCATTTCATAAGCCTTTAAGTCATTATAATTGAAATAGGAATGACTGATACACTTTACTTGTGGAGTGCTTGATGCAGCTTTAAGTCCTCATCCCACAGAGATCTCATTTAGGCCAAGGCATCAAGGAGATAAAAAGAACTAGGGAAGTCATAAGGAATGATGATTAGGACATGGGTTTATACAATATACCTTTGATTTTATTGCTTTACCTTCAAAATGCTTTCTAGGGATTTCTTCAGCAAATTACCAGTATCAAAGTTACATTTCTTCTGGTCTCTGAGATACGGACAGAGGCAGAAGGGGGTAAAAGACACTCAGGCACGATCATGGGGTCCCAGGTGTAAGGCACAAGACAAGACATTACTAAAAGAACCTGACAATAGAGTAGCTTCAGGTGGTAAGAAAACATTAAATCACACCAGAAAATTTAACAGGGCCTAGAAAAGCCCCTTCTAATTAGAAAGCTGGAAGTTTAAAGTAAGGAATAAAAAAAAAAAAGAGAGAGCAAAATCATTATTTCTTGCAGCCCACTGTCTTTGGATATGCCTCACAAGGAAAATTGTCAATATAAACACAAACTGCCCCAGCTGCAAGAAACCACAGAAAGCAATTTGCCAGTAATGGGCAAGGTTTAGCCAGGCGTTTGAGGCTCAAGATTTGTCTGCTCTTAGTTAAAACAAAAACAAACAAAAAAAAGGATGTGCACACACACCTTAAGGTACTGCTGGATCATGGCTAGTTTCAGCCTCTTGACGGCCTCTGTGTCATCCGGATCGGCCTTGACACGTTTGCGCACTACGTCCCGTGTAAAGACGCCCACACTGTTCTGGCTCTCAGCATTGACTGGTTTACCTCGTTGGAAGAACTCCTGAGTCAGGTTATAGACCTGCCAGAGACGGGACAGAAGGATGGACAATGTGATTCACAGCACAATCCAAGCCTCAAGCAAGCTGCTTTTCCCTCCATCCAAACCCAGGACATTTAGATCATCTTCTCTTCCCAACTTTAGAGCTCAGCTTTGGCAGTTTATTGTGTGCTCTGCTCCAACGCCAAGTCAAGTTGCACCCACAGCTATGCTGGTTAGAAGGCAGGAAGCAACACTTCCTTCCAGGCAAAGATAACACTCTTACTCACCTGCAACAGTTGAGTTGCTATTAAGTTATTAAGTTACTATTAACTTACTATTAAGCTATTTTTTCATTCATTCTATCACTTGCAGAACACCAGCTGGGACAGTCCTGCCATTTTCAGTAGCTAAAGCCTGTTGTTCAACCAGCTGTTTAGCTGCCGCAGGTGGATCAGTAAGCCAAGTAAGTGCAGACTGTAGAGCACCTCTGCAGACCAGGTTTGGGTTCGCTCTGTCTAATTTCTGGCTCTGCTGAGCAGCATCACAGCCTGACTTGGCCCCGGTCTCCATCCAAAATCTACAGAGAGTGAACTCAAGCAGCAAGACTCACATGTTCCCTGGCCATAAAGCACCAGCTCTTCTCCCACCTCAGGGTCTCAGGTGCAATCCCAGGTTGCAGAGCCCATACGTTTGACTCCTCTAACCTGGAACCAGCCCTTCCACCCTCTCCATTATTTAACAATACTGCCCAGAAATCCGCCAGATTGGAGGATTTCAGTTTCATAGTTACTTTTCTGTTGTCCCCTGAAAAATAGGAAGCAACCAACACAGGCTTAGCAAAGGAATTTTGTAGGCACACGCATTTTACTTGTTGAGTACAAGACAGGTATAGATCCATGGAAAACAATGACAGCTCTAGTAACCCCCCACCAGGAGCCAGCCTGAGAAGGACCCACAAGAAAAATCTCCTTCTAACAAATTGTTCCTCTTCGAAGGAGATCTTCCTGACATTTTTTTAACTCCAGTTTTCCATCGTATAAGCTACTTAAAAGCAAGAAAACAACCATCCACCTTGGCCATCTGCTTGTGGCCGTCTGGAGTAATCAGTACGTCTGTCTGTAATATTGCCAGAAGAGCCTGCAGTTGAATCATGGCCCTTCCTTTCCATGGAAAAACTCCGAGGAATCTTTTAACATAGGAAAGCTTTCAAAAGTTGCCTCCCAGAAGTGCAACTCATCCCATTAATAACTTGTTTGTCCAGAATGAGTCACCTTCTCATTTATATCATGCCACTGGGGTACACAGTACTCTCACAACCAGAGAGGAAATATCTCTGCTTGGTGAGGTTTTTCCTGTCAAAGATGGTTTGATTACAACTTATGATCCTTTTTTTGGAGACAAGATTAATTGGATGTCCTGAGAAGTTCAACTCAAAAGTAAATGCCTGGTTGGAAGCTGGTAGAACTGACAGCATCTCCTTCAAAGGCTCCTAGAGTTTCCCATTCTCTGCTAATGTAGCTAATTCATCATGTTTTAGTTTCTTCCCACTCTGATTCTCCCCAGTATATTTTTATATAGATAT